TTAGCCTTTTGCGGGTACAGAATATCATATAATGATCACTTAAACCGCATGCTATAACCCCTTTACTGGAGATCTTGGACTTGTCAGAGGTCAGAATGAGATCAATGTTAGTCTGTGTTGTTTCACATACCCGGGTGGGTTGGGTGATTAGCTGGCTGAAGCCGTGCATAATGCTAATTGCTAATGCTAACACACACACACACACAGCAACGCCCACCACCAGCACACACACACACAATGGCAGATGCAAGTATCAGCGAGAGCAGCAACGCATTTACAACTTGGAGATATAACCACTATTTTCAATTTGTGGGGATAAAGGACGCAAAAAATATTACGGTAAAATGTAAACTGTGTGCAGGACAGAAAGCATTGTCCACATCGAATAACAGCAATGCCAATCTCCTGAAGCACCTAAGTAATGTACATGTGGGGATTTGTCTTTTCTCTTCTGTGCCACAGAACAACACAAACACTTGTATTTTTATTGTTATTATTTTTAAAATAAAGTAAAGCAACTTGTTGCTAGTTACTTTTATAATTTAGTAACTAATAAAGTAACTAGTTACTTTTTTGAGAGCAGTAACTATAACTATTACTAGTTACTTTGTAAAAGTAACTTGCCCAACACTGGTGATAGATCAGTTGATAGTCTTTTATATGTAAAATGAGAGAACTGATATATTTTCGACACAGCTTGCTATGCTAACGCCGTATTGGCTGAAGAAGAAGATGAACAAGAAGAGCGGCCCATCATTTTGTTTCTGCCCAACTTTTGCGCAAAGACAGGTGCACATTTTACAAATATGATACAGAAAAATAAATAATGGCAAATCCTCTCCGCCTTCCCTATTTTTTCCCTCTGTCGTTGTACAAATAGATTTAGTTTGTTTTCAATCAGATAAATTCATCTGTTCACACACAATTCAACACAACCTTTCACTATTTATTTATATATCACACTGATCGTTGTATTAGTTTGGCACTGAGTCTTCTCCTAATCATCTTTCCATACAGCAAGTTGTGAGTATATTCAATCGTATTTTACAAGAAGGCTATAACCAGGTGAGCAGCTTTTTTAATCGCCTCTAATTGTTCTCCTTTAGCATTGTAGATGCGACCGACAGTTCTGAGATGAATACATTATGAAAGGAAGATTTCCATAAATTAATAAATAGGGAATATGGAGATTTCCCCTGGGTGTTAAGGATTTGTTTGGCTGCAGTTAATCCAGCAAAAAGCAAGTTTTTATAAAAGAGAGGAATCATTGTTTAGCAATACAATGTTTGACAGAGAGCTGGTATCTGAACCCCTATGATATCAAAAACTATGTTGAACTCTTCACTCTCTGAACACTTGTGAAGACTCAAAAAATTTATAGTTTTGTTGGGTACACAAAAGCATTGTAGTATTTCCTGTAGACGACAAATATAACCTGTGTCGTTCTGTACTCTATCAGTAAGTGAATGTAATTACGTGATCTAATTGAGATCTTATTCCATCTTTTATTTCGATTAATAGTCACTATTGATTGAGATAAACGCATCAATCAGTGTGAGAAAAGGGAGGAACATGCTTTGTGTTGCACCTGCATGTACAGTGCAGTCCGTGCTAATGGTAACAGCTCTTTACACAAGAACTCTATAGCCTGACCTTTTGTCCCTTTTGAATGATCTTTTTCTCTGCAGCAGGGGTCTTATTGGTGATGGGCTGTAAAATGATTTTAGCAATTAAATGGTTAGAGTTGGACCCCTGCTACAGCACTAAGTGGTTCATATACAGTAAGTGCATTGCACAAAGACCAGCAACCAACATGAAGTCGGGTATTTCTGTACTGCCTTTTCATTTTCATTTGATTTACAGCAACCTCTGGGACATTTCAACTGGGTTTGGTACATTTACAAGCAATTACTGATGATCCTCTGCAGAAGAAAAAGTTACTCCTAAGAGTCAAGTGAGTCCTGATGGATAGTGTTAGCTAGGCTGCGTGACTCTGAAATGAACTTTAAAAAGTAATTTGCTACATTATGAACTCTGCATAATGTGCTCGGAAAAAGGCCAACTTATATTGTAAAGGTCAAAGATGGTTTGATTAATTGTAGGAGGGGAACATGCAAGTCATGTGAGACAAAGCCGACCTCATTCTGCCTCAACGAAGAGGTCTGAGGATTTCAAATTAGAGGCAGGAAATACAAATTGCTTATTCAAAATGTTTCCTGCAGCTAGGGTCAAAGACTTGTGGTCACTGAATGGGGTCATACATCCTAACAAAACACTTTTACTTGCTTTCATTTTATAATGTGTGTGGCCAGGAATCAATCTTCAAACAACTTACTGTAAAGGTTAAAGTAGTTATCGTAATCACATGCAAAAACAAGCTTTTAAAGTAGAAACTGATATCCCACGGATGATATCCCACGGATAAAAACTGTGCACAACTGGGATAAAGCCATTCAGGAAGCAGGAGTTTAAATTGTAACCTGCTTATGTAATTGATGTCGTTATTAAAAAGGAATCAAGGAGGGGATACACAAATTAATGACTTGCCTTTTATTACATAAGACATTAAAATGCAGTTAAAAGTTGACTTTTCATACTCAGTGTGCAGATTATAAATGACTTCTCCACAGGAAAGTGATAGATGATGAGAGTTTTGAACAGTTGGAGCTTTTAAAAGGTTTTATTAAAGAGAGGCCTTGACTTTTCAACATTATTTCACTTCTTTCCTTCAATTTGATAACAGAGACATGCGATAAAGCCTTAGAGAGTAGACCATACATGTCAAATCAGGCCCTTGGTGGATTTCATTTCGGCCCGCAGGATAATTTCTAATTACTATTAGATCTGGCCCACCGGTATATTGCACGCACACCTTCTGTTGTGTCTCGTCAAATGTGTTAGTTTTTTTATGTATTTTGTCTGTCACTTCCTGTTTTGTTTTGTACTTACCTCTTGTCTTTAATTTCAGGACCTGTTTCTTCTGCCCCTCGTGTGTTTTTCCCGCCATCATCAGTGTCTGCCCCGCCCCTGATTGTTTCCACCTGTTCCCACTCCCCTCATGTTTAAATTGTCCTGTCTCTCCCCTGTCCTGTGTCAGTTCGTCTTGTTTGTTTCCCTGAATGGCCGTGCCAAGCCTCAGCTCTGAAAGGATCGCTTTTCACTCATGTCAGGTTTTGTTATGTTTTGTTAGACTTACGTTTTTATTAAGTTCTCTTTTTGTTACGCTAGTTTTTTCCTCCTTGTGAGCGCTTTCTGTTATTTCCACTACCTACTCTGTTAAGAGGGATTACCTGATCTTTTTAAATAAATACACTTTTTTATTACATTCAAGACTTCTTGTCTCTGGGTCGTGCATTTGGGTTCATCAGTTTGTGTCGAGGTACGGAACTGTGCTAAGATATTTTTTGGGGTGATTTATAATACGCAAAAAAAAAAAGAAGGTGATCAGGACATTTACATTCATTAATGTTTTGTGAATGGTAAGCTCTCACCTGCCACATAGTCACCAATTCCGACTGTTGTCAGAGTGATGACAACAAAATATGTTGACTCCAGAGCCGTCCAGCCCTCAATGTGTTTAAATATTACAGCCGGGACAGTGACGAACAAGATGCAACCAGCCAGTATGAAGAGGAGGGTGGAGGCCACGCGGATTTTGGTCTGACTGATCTGGTTGTGCTTATTCTGAAGGAATACAAAGTCACAGTAACAAAATATAAGGATAGTGATAACAATAATACATACTTATTTCTGGGTGTTGAAATGGTAAGTTCTTGAGCATGGACTCGAAAAACAATGAGAACACAGGAGAGCTCAACTTGATGGCAGAAACTGAAGAATGTATTGGAAGTCACGGCCAAAGAACTGACAAAGACATTTACTGCAGCCACAAGGTGACAGAGCTCCTGCCTAACCAATTCTGAAGATATTCCAAAATCCCATGTATTTATCTAGTTCTAGACAAAACTATTTATAAAGAGAGAAAGTGGCTACCGAGGTCGCATGTCTGAATGCTGACTATAGAAGAAGAGTGATAAACTGGGTAAAAGGCAGTGGAAAATATTTTCCTCAACAGGTTTCATGTGCTCTCTTTTACTCTGGTCCTTATGTAAAACCAATGGACCAAATAAAAAAAAGTAAATTCCTTAAGTATATTATTTTTACAAAGCACATTTAATGATAGGATATTTAGTTTGAGACTCACCCGGAACATTTTCTCCACCTTGGCAATGCTTTTGACAAATATGGTACCAAGCTGATCCCCGACGCCTGCCAGGAGAAATCCAAACAGCGGGATTCCAAATATTGCATACAGAATGCAGAAGATTTTCCCTCCTTCAGTGCTTGGGGCAATGTTACCATAACCTGGTGAAATAAACGGAGACAACAAGAGGGTTTACACAACAACATGATGCAAACTAAATAACTAGATGTTTGATCCCAATTACCCAAGAGCAAGCAGCCTGCTGTTAAGTCAATCTTAAAACCAGTCATTGCCTACTATTTCTCCATATTAGAGTCAGGGCAGGACTATGCACTGTGACAAACCAGGGGACATTTGGAAAGTACAGCACAGGGGTTAGTTCCCAAAGTTTTTACCCA